TTTGAATTTGAATTCTGTCTTTCTCTGAGAAAGTATCTTTGTCTTTCGATCATGATATAGAAAACATCAAGCCAGTTGCAAGAGAGAAAGTACATTCGAGCTTGCTGTAACTTGGTGCTCACAGCACTGACTGCCGGGACTGACGGAAGTTCTCTTCTTAATCTTAAGTGATGTAGAATCAAAATCAGTGACTCCAGTTCTCATGTGTCTTCAGCAAGTGTTTAAACCATCAGTGTACAGAATTTCAACAGAGGTAGTTTAATTTTAAAAAATGAAATTGGATTAGAGAATTTTATCACTAGACCTATGAGATGTAAATGTTGCTGGTAAAATACTAGTCTGAAAATATAATGTGGTGGTTCAGTGGGGAAAAAAAAACCCTTTCAAATGTAGTTCTTAAAGAATTTTATTTACAAGTTAAGGTAATTTATAAATTAAATTTAGCAGATAAAAAATGAACTGCAGTACCTTTGAAGCATGTATTTATTAAGGATGAAGATCAGCAAATGGTGATTTTTTCTGGAGAGCCAATGTAACTCCATGCAGAAGATTTTTTTTAGGTAAAGCAGGGGAAATTCCAGATGATCCATTTTTATGAGGGTCTAAGACTAATGCTTCGTTTAGTTCACAAAACTAATGATCACAATTGCTAAAATACACTTGGGCAGAGGGCATGAGAGAGACGTTTGGGGTTACTGAGTTCACAGTTCACAGTTTAAATCAAAATAATACCACTGCACTACTTGTACTCTGACATCTGCTCTGAATGCATACAATATCTTTTTTATTTTCTTTTGAATAAATAGGGGTTTTATTGTGAATCTCATCTGAATTCCCCAATGATATAAGTAAGAATCTTTTTTGTCTCTCTTCAAACAGTTACTATCATGAAAGCCGTGACAAGTATTGCTATAATGCGTTAGAGAAAAAAATGGACATAAGCAAGTGAACAGTTTCTATAGGAAGCTCAGTACACCTCAACACCACTTTTAAACTCTACCTTATTTTTTTGCAAACTCTTTCAAAATAAAGCTTACAGTACTGAAGACAAGTATTTTGTGCTAGTAAGACTGAAGTTTGGCTTGGAGATGCCTACTTGGAAGCAGAATTTGCAGCTGTGAGCTTTAGGCTGCAGATGCAGCACATTGGAAGAGTTATGGTACACTGAGTAGGGTCTCAAAACATTATTCTGAACAGGGAGTGCTTTAAAGCAAGTACACTGGCTAGGGACCTGCTTAAGTAGTCAACAATAAAACTGATAAAAGGATTCATCTGCCACTCTAGCTCCCCCTAGAGAGGAATGTTTTCTTCTCTGTCGTATTGACAGGTTTTGAGCTGTGTTGAGAAAGTACGTTTCAGAGTGTTTTCTTTCATTCAAAAACAGAGTAGTCTAAGCTTTCTTAAAAGTCACAGCTACTGTGATGCTTGCGCTACTCATCTCCTTTTCTCTTCCTCCCACCACATGGTGAATGTGCACATGCACACCCACACACTCCTCTGCCTGAAGCCAATGTCTAGAAAACTCTCAGAGATATGAAAGTCAAGATTTAATTTCCTCATGTGCCCGAATGAATTTAAATTTATATTTCCCCTACCTCTCAATGCAAGCACTGAAATCCTATGGATATGCAACTCCCTATGCACTTTCCTCATGCTTTTTATTACAAAACACATTTGGTATATGATTTCTAACAATACTACATAATTTTGGGGAGTTATTTTGACTTTTCAGTCCTCAGTTTCTGATACCAGTTACTAGAACGGCTACTGTATAGACAGTTTTTAAATAAGAAATCAAGATGAATAGTTAAAATGCCGGATATACATATACGTGCAAAGGCTAAGTTCTCATTAAAAGATTCTTGTTTGAAGAAACACTTTGTCTGGACTGGAATTTTGCCACTAGGGCTATGTATGCCATATCTTTAACACAAGGAGAGAACAAGGGAATGTGCTGAACCTTGATTCAAAGCCATTTAAAATGGTCTAAAAAAAGCCAACTTGAAAGACTGAGAGAAATCTAGATTAATTTTATTGATTCTGAAAGCAAATAAGGTATTGCTGCACATCATCTTGGATCACATCATGAGTTAGATGGAGTATTAGGTAGGTATTGGATTTTAATAGGAATAGATGAGCTTCAGTGAGACTTCCAGTTGAAATAGTGTGATGGAAAATGCTAAACTTTTTAATCTGCCACTCTGCATATTTCATTCATTACCTGATCATCTGTTACAAATGAAAGTTCAGAGGTTTTTTATTGTGTTTCTTCTAAACATATGTAACAATTACTAACCAGAGAAGAGTTCTGGGTTAAAGAGCTCTCCAGAGCTCTGTTCTTTCAGTGTTTCTATAAAGCATGCTCTGGTACATCAGCAAAAGTAGCTGCGGTTGCCAGTCCCAGTGGGATAGTGATGTAGAATCTCTGAACAGCAGCAAAATTCAGGGACAGTGGTTTTTCAGTGCTGTAGCTCTACTCTTTGAAAATACTTGCTGTTGGGCAGCATGGCTTTTAAGTGGATGATATTGGCGTGGGTTTTCATATGTCGTCATTCACAAAAATGTATTGATAAAACATCCACACATGCCAAAAATGTAAAAAATTTCAAAATCTTGGGAAAATACAGAAATGTTGGCTTCCAAACAAGTGAGAATGATTAAGACTTTATACCCTCACTGAACTTTGATTCCTTTAGGCTTTCCTAGAAAACACTAAGGACAAGATTTGTCTGCCCACAATTAGACACCTATCTGAGTTGTTATTTATATTTATTTTTTAAGTCAAAGTAGAGAGCAACAATTCACTTTGTTCCTTTCTAGATGGATGTATGAAAGAGATGGGGTAGAATCATGCTTCAGAGTTGTCTCTTGCTCACCACTGGTTTGACAAAATCTAAACAGCTGTCCTAGATGTGTATTTCTCTTACAAACACAAGCTGAGAGAATTGGAGATTTTCAGCCTGGGAAAGAAAAGACTCCAGGAAGACCTTATAGCAGCCTCCCAGTACCTAAAGGAGGCTTTCAAGAAAGCCAAAGAAGAACTTTTTATAAGGGTATGCAGTGATAGAACAAGGCAGAATAGCTTTAAACTGGAAGAGAACAGGTTTAGATTAGATATTAGAAAGAAATTCTTTACTGTGAGGGTGGTGATGCACTGCCGCAGGTTGCCCAGAGGAGATGTGGATGCCCCATTCCTGGAAATGTTCAAGGCCAGGTTGGATGGGGCTTTAGGCATCCTGATCTAGTGGAAGATATCCCTGCACATGACAGGTGGATTAGAAGTTGATGGTCTTTAAGATCTCTTCCAACCCAAGCCATTCTATGATTTTTACACTGTAAACTGGTGAGATCCATTACAAGCTGAAGATACCTACATATGGGTGTCTGCTGGCATGACCAATATTTGTATCACAGTATAAACATGGAAATCTGGTCTTGCCTCCAGCCAGAAAAGGACCTGGATATCCTAAGAAGCCTGTGTCAGCTTTACATGTTCAGAGGTCTTAGGATATCAAGTGGCCTACATGAGGATGACTGCTTTGAGCCCAGGAAAGATGAACTACATGACCAATTCACCTGAGCAACTGCTGTGTATATAATTCAGGATAAATTTAATTGCTCTCTCGGCTGCATTTTCTGTTTCTACTATAAAGGAGTTTTTGACACTCAGTTGCTGCATAGAACTAAACCAAATCTAAATGCCTTAGTTTTAAGCTGAGCCTGCCTTTAAAGACAAAAAGATTTTATTGACAAACGACATAGACATTTCTCCCTAATTTTGCAGAAATAAAAATATTACTGTGAAGCTAATATTTTATGTTTAATTTTATTTTAAAATCCCTTAAGCTTTCATTCAGTGCGCAGGACATGTTTCTTCTTTTATTCTTCCATTATTCAGTTCTTTACACAATCTACTATTTAACAAACTGTTAGTAAACAACCTAATTTTAAATCTTCTTTTAAAAACAAATGCTGCAACTAAAACTTAAATTATGCTTGATTTTTCTTCACTTGCATAAAGTGCATTGTTGTGGTGATGCTGTTATATACATTTTAAATTAATAAGCAAATACTAGTTTTAAATATGATCACTCATTTCAGAACAGGTGTTTTGCTTTTTCTCTTCTGTACAGTGACTGGAAAATTCTGAAATTTCATTAGTCTGAATATTTTAACAAATAGCTGTAAGCAGTCCTAATGCTACAGTTTTTGTTTAAGGAAGTATCTGAGTGAATATTAGCAGGAAATTTGCACTGAATATTAGTGGGAAATGTAAGTAAATAAACGAGAAATTAAAATAGAATTTCTTTTGTGCTATTCATGGAGAAAACATCATTTATACCAAATACTATAGTAAAATCCTATAGATTTTACTAGTTATTAGTCTAGTGATGAACTTAAGTAATGCAAGTCCATCTTAATCTAAAAAAAAATAATGTAACAACTGTACTTAATCATGTGTTTTAGAATGTGAAAACAGTTTTCTACTCTAACAGAACCCTGTATCTTAATGGCAATGCTTATGAAGGGTACAGTTAATTTTCTGACGCAGTGGAAGGAACATCTTGAAGTCAGGAACAACATTTAACTTTACCACTTCTGGTTGAAACTGTAAAATGAGTTCACATGCCATTTATACGTACCTATCTGCTTCTAATATAGTTTCATAAGTCTTTGTACAATGAAAAACAAATAGGAGATCATTAAATGGCAGCACTCCTTTGTGGAACAGTACAATGGAGAAATTTTTGTAATTTTTTTTTTTTTACTTTTTGCATATTAATGTCTACTTCAAAGACCATTTAGCCTTTATTTTCAAGTACAAAAGAAGCTTTTTTATGTCTAATCCATTTGAAGACTGAAAAGCAGACTAGTTTTCCACTTCTGTAAATAATGCTCATTTGTATGCTTTTTATGTCTTTAATGGGGTAGAGCTTGTTATTCATCATTATGAAATGTTCATATTCTTAAATTTTTGTGTATGTCTTGCTTTTTTGCAGACTAAAACTGGTATTGCATTGTTGTATGATGAAGTATCTGAAAATGCTTATGACATCCGACTGAAGCTTACAAAAGAGGTATTAACAATTCAAAAACAAGATGTCGTCTGTGTTAGTGGAAGTGATCACAGTGCAAATGTAAGTACTTCTCTATCTCTGTGCTTTCGACCGCGCGCTTTAATGTCTTCTACAGAGATCACTTTATTGTATTGGAGTGCAAGAGATTTTATTGAGTAATAGAAATACATGTAATTATCAGTTGTTGGGTCTTTTGTGCACACCTCTATTCTTACCTGTAAAAACTGCTCTTTTGGCCAGGGCTATATATTCTTTATTATAACGTTCATAACCTTAACAGGAGCAAAAATGTCTATAAATACCAAAATTACAGCATTCTTCCTCCAAATATTGTTAGGCTATTAAATTAAGAGAAAAAAAGAAGACTATTTCCCAAGCATTTTAAGAGTAAACTAATACACCAGAGTCATCTTCATTTGTGTATTAGACAGGATGTCTGTTCAAGGGCATTGAGCTGAGAGAACACTTAACAGTCACTTATTTCACTGTAACTCTCTTGCAGACACAGATGGGGCTTAATCAGTGCCAGCATGTATGTGGTGCTTTTTTTTCCCCAAAATTCAGTTATGCTGCTTTTTCAAAGCATGTGTTGCCTCTAAGCTATAGAGGACTCTTCTGTATGATCATTTGGTAATGTCGCTCGATGAAGTGGTGGCATTTTGCATCAGCAGTACAGCAAGAGTATCTAGGTTATCAGCATCCCTAAGTAGTGTATTTTATTTCCTCATATAAACAGTATTCTTCTTGAATTTAGAATATCCATTCTTAATTTTGCTGAGTAAAATAAATTTCATAAACTCTACTGGTATTTCCTAGAGTGGCACCCTCCTCAGAGGGGGCCAAGGGAGAGTTTTTCTGTCTTCTTACTGTGTCATGTGAACTTAAAATCTGACACTTGGGGACATCAATTGAGTTTGTGATACTCTGCTAAGAATTAGAAACCAAAAAAGTATATAGTGGGTATCCATGTATGTATATGTGAGTATGTTAGAGAGAGAGTCTACCTGTATAACACATGAACATGTTTCATTCCTACCACAGTAAATATTTATGTGAATTGTTTAATATAACACACACAATAATTTGAAATAGCTTTTAGTAGTTAGAAACATTGTGTGCTGTTTTCAAAAGTTCTCCATGAAACACTGTGAAACATGACTTGCTCTTTAGAATGTTCGAAAAGGTTGGTCTGTGAAAGGCATGTCCATTTCTGGTTGGTTTGCTGAGATAAGTATAAGCCTCCTCCATCAGCTTTGCATATACTTTCTACTTCACCGAGAAACATGAAAAAGCATAGCTTTTTCATTTTATTTTTTTTCCTAGATATTGCTGGTAATGCAGATAAGTTGTATGCAAACTAATCGCAAGAGTCATAGTAAATATCATGTGACTGCACTATATGGTGTCTGTGCATATGATTGTACATAATTGCTATGGACTCAGTGGTGTTTAAATGCCTTGTGTATGAACTTTCATAGAAAAAGAATCGAAATTCTATCCTATGTAGTCCTAGGTTACTTTTTGATTGAATCAACACTAGCTGGTTGTGTCTGCCAAAATATTGTATCAATATGTGTATGTATTAATCAACATCCAAAATAAAGCAAAAAAAAATAAAAATCCCTAGACACCCCCAAACACCAAACTAAAGCAGTACAAAACCCCACCTCAAACAACTCAAGTCTGCCTCTTTCTTTTTAATATCAAGGTTTGGGTTGATTTGGATGGATTTTATTCCTATATTTTATGGGTACCCTAAATAGTATTTCCTGGTAGAAGACAGAGCAGGAGACAAGCTCTCATAGTTTTGAGGAGTTGAATTTTGAAAGAAGTTCTGGAAAGTAATAGACTCTGCAGAGAAGGCATACGTGGGATATGCAGCCACTGCATACAAAATAAGCCCAAGTTCCTTGGTTGTATTTCATCACCAGTAATGATCACTCAGTGGTAGAGTCTGGAAAGAAGTGATTCCCAGGGCTATGGCAGAGACAGTTTTTCCAGGTCGCAGACATGGTGTTAATGTGTAAAAGTAAGGAAATTTAAAATACAAATCAGTGTTAATTTAGTTTGGAGTTGCAAAATATTATGTGACTCTAGGTATGACACCCATTCAGAAGGAATTTCTCCCACCTCATACTATTGATAGATAAGTGTGGGCAGTCCTGCCAAGCTGACCTTTCCTGCAAAACATTGTTAATGTTGTTTCCTTATTTTTCTTAAGTTTTCTCACTGAAGACTCTGAAAACTAAATTTTAAGGATCCAATCTTTTGTTTTTCTGTGTCCCTTACAAGACCTCCCCAAGGTCCCTTTCTGAAAGTGTTATCTTCAGTCCTCATATGATCCTGTTGTCAAACTCTAATGAGAAAGAGGAATTAAACCGTGGCTTTGTGGCAATATTTGCTTTTTCTGTGTTATACTCTGAACCAAATAGAAACTTTTGGACAACTAGCATTTAATATAAAGGACCATTGAGTGTAACATGAAGATAAACACTGTCTTTTTTTACAGTATATAATTTTCTAGTATACAGGACCTCAAAAGCAGAATTTGAAATCAGGCTGAAATAGCTGGTAGGTCTCTAGCACTGATTTTGGTAAGTTTTACATTTACAGTTACATGACATAAATTCCAAAGAGATAAATGCTTTATATTTCAAGTAGCTCAAGAAAATAGTTTTCATCCCTGTTCTGTATGATTCAAAATATTAATAGAAAATTGTAACCTGAAAGTCAGTTCTAGAGCAGTCATAATTGATCGCATTGCCTTACTGATTTATTCTCCTTCTTCTGTACCTTTTCATTCTCAGGTACTCGTAGTTAATCTTTATTTTATGCCCTTCATCAAACTAGCTCATTTGCCACAAAAATAGAAATAACTTTTGCCTTCTTTTTGTACTCAACTCAAATGCATAGGAGGAAAAAAACTTTTGTTTTTAGAGTAACTTTTCTTCTTATGTGGAATATATGTATGGAAAATTATTGGAAAAGAAAATTCTGTCTCTACTTGTGATAATACTTTTTTCTCCAACCAGTTTTGTGGGACAACATTTGTGGGATGCATTTGTTTGCAGCCTCCCTTTTACTGACAGGTTCATTAGTCCTGAGGAATACTGAAAACAGGATTTACGGCTATGCATATTTAGCTCTGTTAGTCTGGTCGAGTTCTGAATGCTACAGTGAGGACTGGCAAAGACCTCAGAGATCACTAGAGCTACTGTTGTGGGTAGGAATTTCAGCAATAGAGATTGTTCTCAAGGATAAAAGGCTTCTTCTATAAGATAACTTCTACTACCATTATCTGGGTCTATTCTTGTTTCATATTTTACCATCTGCCATTCATTTAAGTGTCTTAAAAGTGCTACTTTTAAGCATTGAGAAAACTTCTTCTTTGATGAGAAGCTTTAGATGTGGCTTTCTGTAATTTAATAGCAGGTCAGCCCACTTCACTAGTCCTTGCAATATTGGACTTGGGGGTAGAGTAATGAGAGAAAAACATGGTCTTTGAAATTCAAAATGTATATAGCAAAAATAATGTAAAATCAGCTGTTTCTTTTCCTTAGTATTCAAATTTTTCAGAGCAGACAAAGTGCTTTTAAGTATCTGAAAAAATCCTTATGAATATGGAGCCATTTGGGGAAATAATATTTTACAGTAGCTTTTATATAATGTTGCGGGTTTTAAAATAATTTTTATATAACTATTTATAAACATGTATTTAATATATATTTATGTGATTTTTACACCAAGATGTATTTCAGATCTTCAGACTTGGCAAATTCTATGTTCTAAGCAAGCCTTCATGACTTGGTATTATGTCTTTGGAGATGTGAAGGCTGGAGGCAGCCTTGACCATGAGATTGTGAAGTTCAGTGTTAGGAAGCAGAGCAGCAAGTAAGATTGTAGCCATGGACTTCAGGAGAGCTAACTTCAGCCTCTTCAGAGATCTTCTAAGAAGAATCCCATGGGAACAGGCCCTGCAGGGAAGAGGGGTCCAAGAGACTTGGTTTGTATTCAAGGATTACTTCCTTCAGGCTCAAGAACCAAAGAGCAAGAAATTGGGCAAAGGGAACAAGAGACCTGCATGGATAAAAAAAGACCACCTGTCATTACTCAAGTGTAAGCAGGAAATACACAGAAGATGAAAGCAGAATCAGGCCACTTGGAATGATATAAAGAGACATTGTCAGAGTAAGTAGGAATGAGATGAGGGCCAAGGCTCATCTGGAATTAAATCTGGCCAAGGATGTCCAGGATAACAAGGACTTCTTCAAATACATCAATAACAAAAGGAAAACAAGGGATAATATGGGCCCATTACTAAATGGAGGGGGGACCCTGGTAACAGAGGACACAGAGAAGGCAGAGTTACTGAACTCTGCCTTTTCATCTGTCTTCAGGACAGGAGACCAGGGTAAAGGAATGCTGGAAGGAAGACTTTCCCTTGGACGAGGAGGATTGCGTTAAGGAACACCTAGGCAAACCTGATGTGTGCAAGTCCGTGGGCCCTTAGAGGATGCATCCATCAGTGCTAAGAGAGCTGATGGACACTATAGCAAGGCTGTTAATCTCTGAGGACTGGAAGAAAGCAAATGTCACCCCAGTCTTCAGAAAGGGCAAGAAGGAGGACCCAGGGAATTACCATCCAGTCAGCTTCAGCTTAACCCCTGAATGGAGTGCCTCATTCTGGAAGCCATGTCTATCCACATGGATGATGAGCAGGTGATAAGGAATAGTCAGCTTGGATTCGCTAAAGGTAAATCATGCTTGCCCAACCCAATTACCTTCTATGATGAAACAGCTACCTGGATGGATAGGGGAGAACAGTAGATATTGTCTACCTCAACTTCAGCAAGGCTTTCTACGCTGTCTCTCACAGCATCCTTGCAGGCAAACTCAAGAAGTGGGAACTGTATGAGTGGACAGTGAGGTGGATTGAAAACAGACTGAACGGGGGACAGGGAAGGGAGGGGAAGGGAGGGGGAGGGTAGGGGAGGGGAGGGGAGGGGAGGGAGGGGAGGGGAGGGGAGGGGAGGGGAGGGAGGTGTCTGAAACTCAACAAA